GTGATACCCCCAACATAAAAATAGATGTTATCCACCATTTTTCATTCAACCTCATACTGGATCCTTGCCAAATATAAAGCAAATAAAAAAAAAGCCCAGTGTTAAAAAACTAAAAAAAAAAATGTGTTGCCAGATAAAACACAATGTCACACAAAATCCAAAATCAATCTACACAAATTACTAAAGTTATAAAGAGCTTAACAAAATGGATGTTACAAGCCCCAAAATGAAAACAATTACATTTCCATTTATCTGATTTAAACATGAACAACAAAGCTATATTACCACAGCATCAACGTTTCAAATACCACAGAATAAAATCTGACATGTCGACAACTCCTGTTAGAAAAACTCTCTCTATTGTTAAAACCTAATACTGTAAGTTCCATATGCAAACAACCATGGTCCCAGCAGATCAAACGCTCAAACCATAACTAATTCAGCTTTCCACAAAGTACTTACAGCATTCAATCGCAACTTCATAAAAAAAAAAAAAACAAAAAAAATCTCTACCAGTGGTTTGTGATTAGTCTGCACACGAACTGATTCTAAATACACCATGACATGCAATGGAGAATAAAAACATAGCCAACCTCCTGAAGAATTGAGGTAAAATTTTCTTTACCAAATACTCATGGTTTCGTTGTGAAGCTCAGTAATTGACACTGAGGATGATGCCTGCCAAGGCACAAAAGGAACTAACAGAAAGCAAGAGCAGCACCCCAAGCAACCAGTGACAAGGGTGGCGCCACCGCCCTCATGCGCCCAGCTGCAGCCAGCCACGGCGAAGGGCTGGCCTGTGACATTTCCGCGACAAGTGGTGTCAGAACAACGGGACGACCCTGGACTGGCCAAGCCTTTGGAGGGCTGACCCTAAAGAAGAAGAGCTCCCGGTCCCACACCACATCAAGTTCAGGGTGACAGCGCAAAACTCATAAAGGTGCAAAATATTTCCACTTTTTGGAAAAATACTATAAACCGTATCTGCTACAACCTCCAAGAAAATGAAAATCAATAAAAAAAGGACACACAAAAAACTGACTAATTACAAAGCCGAAAAGACTAATGACTCTTATTACATTAAAACTACTATCCCTGTCCCCAAAAAGACTCCTTAACAGAGTGGAAAGGCAAGGCACGAAGTGGAGGCGGATCTGCTGCAGGTCACATGCTGCTCATGTTAATTTTCCAGAATAAAGGATTCCCTTCAAACCAATAAGGAAACTCAGAAAGCTTAATTAAATATGGGCAATAGCCTGGAGGCCGACAAGAAGGAGACCTCCAAGCGATAGGAAGCACTGAAGGCCAACCTCACTGTGGCCAGGAGTGTCCATTAAACGATGGGAATGCCACTGCCCACCCACTGGCTGCTGAGATTGGAGGGGAGTGTCATCAGCAGGGATTCTGCACAGGCCACTCTCCCCATGGCAGGCACAGCAGTGCACTGAATGACCGACTGGTCGGTTAACAGCTACTACATGAAGCTTTTGTGACTATCCATGCACTGTGTCCTGGTGCCCACATGCCCCCATGCCTGGAGGACACACCCATCACAGACTTTCTGGACCATGGAGGATGTGAATCTCCACCTGTGATGTTTGGTGCCACACTGCCATGCTGCCCTCCACAGTGGTCATTCAGTGCACTGCTGTGCCTGCCATGGGGAGAGTGGCCCTGTGCAGATCCCTGCTGATGACACTCCCCTCAATCTCAGCAGCCAGTGGGTGGGCAGTGGCATTCCCCATCGTTTAATGGGACACTCCTGGCCACAGTGAGGTTGGCCTTCAGTGCTTCCTATCCTTGGAGGTCCTCTCTTGTGTTGTGCCCTCCAGGCTATTGCCCATATTTAATTAAGCTTTCTGAGTTTTCCTTATTGGTTTGAAGGAATCCTTTATTCTGGAAAATTACATGAGCAGCCATGTGACCAGCAGATCCGCCTCCACTTCGTGCCTTGCCTTTCCACTCTGTTAAGGAGGTCTTTTTGGGAACAGGGATTAGTAGTTTTAATGTAATAAGAGTCATTAGTCTTTTCCTTTGTAATTAGTCAGTTTTTTGTGTGTCCTTTTTTTATGTTTTCATTTCTGGAGGTTGTACAGATACTCTGTTATAGTATTTTTCCAAAAAGTGGAAATATTTTGCACCTTTATAGTTTTGCCTGTCACCTGAACTTGATGTGTGTGTGGTGTGACGTAGGGGTCAAGCCTCAAGCTTGGCAGTCAGGGTGTCCCGTTGTTCTGACACCACTTCCTGAAATGTCACTGGCCACCTTCCCTGCTGGCTGCACTGGGCATGAGCAGGTGCCCACCTGTGCATGGGGTTGCTTTGGGGTCTCTCTTGCTTTCTGTTAGTTTTTTGTCCTTGCAGCATCATCTCAGTGTCAATTACTGAGCTTCACAACCATGAGTATTTGGTAAAGAAAATCTCCTTACCTCATTCTTCAGGACGGTTGGGCTACTCTTTTTATTCTCCATTGCATGTCCATGTGTATTTTAGAATCAGTGTGTCAGACTCATCACAAACCCTGGTAGAGTTTTTACTGACATTGCATTGAATCTGTAAGTTACTTTGTGGAGAACTGACATTGTTATGGTGTTGAGCGTTTTGATCCATGGACATGGTCTGTCTCTGCATTGACTTAGGTCATCTTCAGCGTCTCTTAACAATAGACCAGAGTTTTCTACATGGCAGTTATACATGTCAGATTTATTTCTGTGTATTTGAAACGTTTGATGCTGTTGTAAATATAGCTTTGTTGTTTCATGTTTAAACTCCAGATAAACTGGAAATGTAATTGTTTTCATTTTGGCCTTGTAAGCATCCATTTTGTTAAGCTCTTTATAACTTTAGTAATTTGTCTGTAGATTATTTTGGATTTTGTGTGTACATTGTCGTTTTATCTGCAAACACATTTTTCTTTTTTAGTTTCCACTCTTTACACTGTTTTTTCTTTACTTTGCTTTATATTCTGGCAAGGACCTCCAGTATGAGGTTGAATAAAAATGGTGATAACATCTATTTTTATGTTGCGCGCCCTATCCCAAAGGAAAGTTTCCGACATTTTACTCGGAAGTATAATTGATGTTTGTTGTAGGTTTTTATAGATCTTTATTTACTAAGGAAGTTTATTTCTATTCGCTAAGAATTTTAGTCATAAGCTTTTATATTTTTATCAAATATTTTTCTCTGTCTATGCAGATGGTGTTTTCCTCCTTCATTCCTTGAATTAATCACCTTGATTGTTTCTAATGATTATCACAATAGGGCAGCTTGGCTGTACTGTCACTCACTCTATGTCACCAGCTTTGGTTGGCGGCTCTTCTGTCCGGGGTATGTGCATCTGTGCTTGTGAGGAAGACGACATTTAATTTTCCTTTCATGTGTGTCCTCCTCAGGATGTGGTGAAAGTTATGCTGGCCTTTTAGTCAGTTAGCAAGTATTCCTTTCTGACCATTGTTAGGATAAGATTGGTAGTTATTTCATCCTTAAATGTCTGGAAGAATTCCCCGGTAAAGCCATCTGAGCCCAGAGCTTCTGTTTGAGAAAATTTTAAATTATGGATCCAATTTATTTCATAGTTATAGAATTCTTCAGAGTTTCTATTTCTTCTTGTAACAGTTTTCATGGGTTGCATTTTTTCTAGGATGTTTTTATTTAAAATGCATTTTGGATATATTGTCATGAACTTGTTCTCAATGTCCTTGTATTACCTCTTAATGCCTGTGAGATCTGTAGAGCCCTGTCACCCCTCGCTCGCTCTCCCGATCAGCCTCACCAGGAGTGATCAATTCCATCGACCTCTCAAGGGACCCCGTGCTTTCCAGGCTGCCCGCACGGCCCCTCTGCCTGGCTGTCATCCCTGAGGGAATGGCCTCCTCCTAGATTGCCTGGAATTCTAAGGTGCAGCCCTTCAAGAACCCAGCCTGAGAGAGAGAGTCAGAGAGTGGAGCTCTTGGTGGGCCCTGAACCCAGTTTTCGAAGCCCAGCCTGCAGCACGGTGCAGAGCGCCGTGAGACCCTCGGCTGTGTCAGTGCCTGATAGCCGGGCTCATGTCCCTGGATGCATACTGACTTCCAGATCTCGGCCCCGTCATTCTTTGAATATTGATTACCTCCAGTTCTTAGAAGTACATTTTTACAACAGGTCATCCAACTTTCCTAATTTCCCACTCAAGAGTAATGGTTTTAACAAACTGAGTCCAACATCATAGGAAGCATTAGCTCTTCTTTATATATTAAATGTTTAAGTGGTTGTGTGTGCACACAAAGAAATTCTGTCTCTAGTGAGTCAGTAGTTTTTAGTGGAAAAATGAAACAGACACATAAATTTGAATAAATCCATGAATGGGTGTGTTTCTTGTGGGGATCTTCATACTTGGGTGCTGATGTTCACAAAGATGATCACATGTGACAAAATGAAACCCATGAGTGGAAGAGGGAAGGAAGATAGCACAGCCTCCATCCGTCCCACAGAAACGTGCTGAGCACCTGCTGTATGCAGACACGTGCTGGCACGGGGAGGGAGGGGGTTCTCTGAGGAGAGACCCTTATGCTTGTGGCCTACACCCGCTCCTGTGACCTCCTGTGTGTGTTATGTGTTCGTGTAGACGTACAGTTTGTATTTCCTGGACCACCTGGTCAAGGCCCTGCAGAAGATGTGCCTACACGAACTCACGGTCCCCATCCTGCAGTTGGGGGTGCTGATTTCGGACTCCGTGGTGGGAAGCAAGGGCCTGGTGGATCTCTACCACCTTCGGTGAGTACAGTTCCTTTTGTGGAGTGTGATTTCCCCAAAGAATACAAAAATGAACAGCATGTTAAAATATTAATTCTGTAGTTGACTGTGTAAATAATAAAGTCCCTGGGATTTGCACACCAAGTAAATAAAAATATTTGAATATAAAAATGGTATTTTTGGTTGGGATGGGAGGACTATTTGATCCCAGGAGTTTGAGACCAGCCTGGGCAACGTAGCAAGACCCCATCTCTACAGAAAATTTAAAAAATATGTTAGCCAGGTATGATGCCACACACCTGTTGTCCCAACTACTCAGGAGGCTGAGGCAAGAGGATCACCTGAGCCTAAGAAGTCGAGGCTGCAGTGAGCTATGATCGTGCCCCTGCACTCTAGCCTGGGCAACAGAGCATGACCCTATTACTAAAAATTTAAAAAATAAAATATGATATTTTTATTTTAAAATTTCTACCTGATCCTTAAGAGAATATTCTTGTTTTAAGGAAATACAGGTCTATCTTGGAGATATTGTGGGTTAGGTTCCAAAACAAAACAAATATCATAATAAAGCAAGTCACATGAACTTTTTGGCTTTCCAGAGTATATAAAAGTTAGGTTTACACTATTCTGTAGTCTATGAAGTGTGCAATAGCATTATGTCTAAAAAATGTACATACATCCATTTAAAATGTATGTGCTAAAAATGCTAAAAAGGCGAGCAATTTCTTAAAATAAGACAACAATAAAATTTGCCACATGAATCAACTCTTTCACAGATTTATCTGTAGCATGCAACACTGTTTGATAGCATTTTACCCATGGCAGAAGTTCTTTCAAAATTGGAGTCAGTCTCTTAAATGCTATTCCCACTTTATCAACTCAATGTTTGGAATATTCTAGGTCCCTTTTGTCATTTCCACAGTGTTCACAGCATCTTCACCAGGAGCAGATCCCATCTCAAGAAATCACTTTCTCTGCTCGTCCGTAAGAGGCAATTCTGCATCCATTCAGGTTTTCTCTTGAGACTGTGGCAATTCAGGGCCATCTTGAGGTTCCACTTCTGATTCTGCTTCTCTTGCTGTTTCCCCCACACTTGTAGCTCCTTCTACTGAAGTCTTGAATCCTCAAAGTCATCCATGAGGGTTGGAATCAACTTCTTCCAAATTCCTGTTAATGTTGCTATTTTGGCCTCCTCCCATGAATCAGGAATGTTCTTAATGGGATCTAGAATGACGAGTCCTTTCCAGAAGGTTTTCAATTCACTTTGCCCAGATCCGTCAGAAGAATCACTCTCTGTGGCTGCTGTAACTTTATTAAATGTGCTTTGTAAATAGTAAGACTTGAAAGTCGAAATGACGCCTCAATCCATGGGCTGCGTGGCTGCGGTGTTAGCCGTGGTGTTAGCAGGCACGGGACAGAATTCATCTCCTTGTACATCTCCGTGAGAGCTCTTGGGTGGCCGAAGCACTGCCAATGAACAGTACTATTTTGAAAGGAATCTGTTTTTCTGAGCAGTAGGTCTCAAAAGTGGGCTTTAAATATTCAGCAAACCATGCTGTCAACAGAGGTGCTGACATCAGGCTTTGTTGTCCTCTTATAGAGCACAGGCAGAGTACATTGAGCATCACTCTTTTTTTTTATTTTTATTTTTTAGGCAGAGTCTCGCTGTGTCACCCAGGCTGGAGTGCGGTGGCGCCATCTCAGCTCACTGCAAGCTCCACCTCCCGGGTTCACACCATTCTTCTGCCTCAGCCTCCCAAGTAGCTGGGACTACAAGCGCCCACCAACATGCCTGGCTAATTTTTTGTATTTTTTTTTTTAGTAGAGACGGGATTTCACCATGTTAGCCAGGATGGTCTCGATCTCCTGACCTCGTGATCTGCCCTCCTCGGCCTCCCAAAGTGCTGGGATTACAGGCGTGAGCCACCACGCCCGGCCAATAGAGCATCATTCTTAAAGGCCCTAGAATTTTCAGAATGGTGAATGAGGACTGGCTTTGACTCAAAGTCCCCGGCCGCGTTAACCCCTAGCAAGAGAGTCCGCCTGTGCCCGGAAGCTTGGAAGCCAGGCATTGACTTTTCTTCGCTAGCTATGAAAGTCCTAGAAGGCATCTTCTTCCAACAGAAGGCTGTGTGGTCTGCAACTGAAACCTGTTGTTTAGCGTAGCCACCATCGATGCTCTTATTAGCTGGATCTTCCGGCTAAAGCTTCAGCTTCTCCGTCAGCACTTGCACTTTTATGTTACGGAGACGGCTTCTGTCCTTAAACCTCACGAGCCCACCTCTGCCAGCTTCCAACTTTTCTTCTGCAGCTGCCTCACGTCTCCTGGCCTTCATGGGATTGAAGAGAGTGAGGGCCTCGCTCTGGCTTAGGCTTCGGCCTAAAGGAATGTTGTGACTGGTTTGCTCTTTGGCGCAGACCGTGGAAACGTATTCATATCAGCACTGAGGTGGCTTCACTTTCTCGTCATTTGTGTTCATACGTTCCCTGTAGGAGCTTTGAATTTCCTTTCAGAACTTTCCCTTTGCACTTACAACTTGGTTAACTGGTGCAGGGCCGAGCTTCCAGTCTGTCTCCACTTCTGACACGCTTTCCTCACTGAACTGAATCGTTTTTGGCTTTTCCTTTAAAGTGAGAGACGTGTGACTGTTCCGTTCTTTGGAACACTTAGAGCCCATCGCAGGGTTACTAACCGGCCTAATTTCAAAACTTCTGTGTCTTGGGGAATAGGGAGGCCCGAGGGGAGGGAGAGAAGTGGGGGAGCAGCCAAGCCGTGGAGCAGTCAGAACCCACGGGACATCTGTCGACTCAGTTCACTGTCATATATGGGCGTGGTTGATGGTGCCCCAAAACAATTATAACGGTAACCGCAAAGATCACTGAACACAGATCACCGTAACAGAATCATAAGAATATTTTGATTTTTTGAAATATTTTGAGAATCACCAGAATGTGACACAGAGACACCGAGTGCGGAGGTGCTGTTGGAAAATGGTGCCGATGGACTTGGTCGCTCAGGGCTGCAGTTTGTAAAATATGCAGTAGCTGAGCAGCACAGTAAAGCACAGTGTGATAAATGGAAGCGTGCCCGGGCCACTGAAGGAGCTGGGAGAAAGGCCGCAAGTTGCATCTTCAGCTTGCTCAGATATCCCAGGGGCGGGAGCGGGAGAGGAAGCTGGAGCAGGTGTGGTCATGGGGCCCAGAGGGGCCACGGGGGCCTGCACAGGGATGCTTCCTGGCGTCTGTGCAACTTTCCTGCTTGCCTGAAAGCATTTTACAAGAATAGGGTTTTCAACAGGAGTTAAGGCTTCTCTGCTTGTAGTGGTGGCTGCTGAGCCCACCTCTCCTTGGGGCCTCCTCCTCTCCTTGGACGGCATCCAGGAGGCAACAGATAATGCCTCACACGAGATCTGTGAAGGAGCAGGAAAAAATCCCACCTGAAATGTGATGGAGCTACCTGGCACTTTCCCTAGTAATTTCGCTTACCTTGAAAAATGATTGAAAACATCATCCAAGTACGCCTCGATGTTTCAGTCGACCGTTTTCTGTGAAACACACTCATAGCTTTGTTTCTGGCTCCCTCCGCTCCCGCGCGGCACTGACGCTCCCGGCCACACTCCCCACAGCCTCGCCCACGTGTGCTCCGAGCTGAAGCTGAGCGAAGCAGCTGCGCACCATGAAGAGGCGGTCGGGCAGGTGTACATCAGCGAGCTGGAGCAGGCCAGGTGGGTGCGGTCCCACCCGGCGCCGCCCGGGGCTTGAGTCTTGCCCTTGGTGTGGCCGGGTAAAAGCCAGCCACCCAGCCACCCTCTGCCCTGGACTCCTGCCCCTCTGGGGAGAGCGAGCACTTGGGGGCACGGCTGTGGCTGGTTCTCCTGGGTCATGCTAGAGGTGGGTAACTCATGGTGCACAGATAACTCGTATCGTCTGCTTTACTCACCTTAGCTGCAGGAAAGAGATCGCGTTGAAAAAAGAGAAAAATAAGGAACCTTTATTAGAAGAAAGCCTGCCAACACTGAGCGAGCAGACACTTCCCATCCGGCCTGGGGAGATCAAACCGCTGGAAGCCAAGGACAAGGTGAACCTCACCGCCCAGAATCCTTCTGACCTGCAGCCCGGTGGACGCCGGTGCCCTCATGGCCGTGCAGGGCTGCAGCTGAGCCAGGAGGCCGGCCTGTGTGTGTGTCAGTGTGCGAGGGGCCGGCCTGTGTGTCAGTGTGCGAGGGGCCGGCCTGTGTGTCTGTCAGCGTGCGAGGGGCCGGCCTGTGTGTGTGTCAGTGTGCGAGGGGCCGGCCTGTGTGTGTGTCAGTGTGCGAGGGGCCGGCCTGTGTGTGTCAGTGTGGGAGGGGCCGGCCTGTGTGTGTGTCAGTGTGCGAGGGGCCGGCCTGTGTGTCTGTCAGCGTGCGAGGGGCCGGCCTGTGTGTGTGTCAGTGTGTGAGGGGCCGGCCTGTGTGTCAGTGTGCGAGGGGCCGGCCTGTGTGTCTGTCAGTGTGTGAGGGGCCGGCCTGTGTGTGTGTCAGTGTGCGAGGGGCCGGCCTGTGTGTGTCAGTGTGCGAGGGGCCGGCGTGTGTGTCTGTCAGTGTGCGAGGGGCCGGCCTGTGTGTGTGTCAGCGTGCGAGGGGCCGGCCTGTGTCTGTCAGCGTGCGAGGGGCCGGCCTGTGTGTCTGTCAGCGTGCGAGGGGCCGGCGTGTGTGTCAGTGTGTGAGAGGCCGGCCTGTGTGTGTCAGTGTGCGAGGGGCCGGCCTGTGTGTGTGTCAGCGTGCGAGGGGCCGGCCTGTGTGTCTGTCAGCGTGCGAGGGGCCGGCCTGTGTCTGTCAGTGTGCGAGGGGCCGGCCTGTGTCTATCAGTGTGCGAGGGGCTTCCTGTGAGTGATTTCTCCTCCCGTGGGCCCTGGAATTCCCCGGGAAAGATGAGCTTTATGTGCACCACAGGCCTCCCTGGAACAGGCCTGCCAGGTGCCTGCGCAGAGGCAGAGAGAAGGTGGGGACAGCAAAGAGGGGTCTCCACCTGGGGGTCCTCGTCGTCTGACAGAACTGGGCCTCTCGCCACCTGGTTTCCCTCAGCAGGAGAGCACAGCACCCTCTGCATTTGCCCGTAAAGGAAGGTGACCAGCCCAGCTCCTAACCCAAAACGCAGTTACCATGGGAGCACCATGGAGGAGCAAAGGTCATGCTTCCTGTGACCTGGCAGTCAGGACAGGACAGGGGCTCAGCACAGGACCTGGATCCAGAACACAGCAGTGCGGGGCTCAGCCTTTGCCCCCGCCGGGGTCTCTGCTTAGCGAGGAGAGAGTGGGAGGATGTGGGGTAGGCCCAGATCCCAGTGCAGGGGCTCAGCCACCGGCCTACGCCAGGGGTGCCCTAGCAAGGCCAGGTGCACAGCCGCAGGCAGGCCCAGATCCCGGGGTTGGTCGGCAGCATGAAGTGGGGCAGGGGGTCCTACACCCCAGTGTGTGTGTGTGTGTGTGTGGAGTAGCAAAGGCTCTACGTGGCTAGTGGTGGTCTTGGTTGGCTGCAAGGGGATTCGTGAGAAGAGAGAGGTGCACAGGGTGCAAGAGGCCTGTCGGGGGAAAGGCAAAGGCCTGAGCCCTGGCCTCAGGGCACACGGGGAGCTTGTGAGGCGCCCACAGTGCCTAGGCCAGCAGGGAGCCCTCGGTGTGGTGTGGTTCCTGAGTCGCAGGGACGGCTGCTGAGCCAGAGCTCGTCCCGTGGGACTCGGAGGTCGCAGCGTCAGGACCCTGCCGCCTGGGGCTGCGGTGTCTTCCAGATTTTGAAGATGAATGGGGAGACCGGGAGGGGCCTGGATGGGACGTCCTTTCCCCTCCTGTGGATGCTGAAGGCAGAAGTTCTGCTGGAGATGAACCTGTACCAGCCTGCACGGCTGCTCCTGTCAGAGGCTCATCTGGCTTTCCAGGTGAGGAGCCCCTCCCAGCCCGTCACCATCCACGGCCGCTCCCCGCGCACTGTGCACAGCGGAGGGGCTACAGGCGGAAGCTTGGGCTGTAGCATTCATCTCTAGCACGGCCTCTGTCTGTCCGTCTTTTGCTTTGCCACTCACAGTTTGCTGAAGTTTCTATTTCCAGTACCTGTTGTGGGTCTCTGCAACCTCTCGTTTCTCTTGGTCGTCGGTGGCTCCTCTCTGCCTCCTGCCACCATCAGTTTCTTACCTTCTGAGGCTGGATGAGAACTTGGGGAACCCCAGAGAGTGTCTGCCAGAAGTGCCACTTCGTTCTAGAGGGCGGATCGTGTGCGGGGCCGCCTGGGTCCAGGGATCCGGGTCTGGTCTGGTCTTTGTTCGTTTTGCTCTCACTCCCCGGATGTGACCCTTACGGTCCCCAGTGAAAGCCCCGGGACGTTTGCTGAGGCCCGGTCTCCCCGGCGGGCGCTGCAGCTGTTTGGTCTCAGCTGGCTCCTGCCAGGCTTTGTGACATCCTCCTCTGCCCTGAGCAGCCAGGCCCAGCTGACAGCCCTGAGGGGAAGTACGGACCTCGGACCCTTCGCCTCGGCCCCTCCTCCTGGGACTGGCCCTGCAAGCCTCAGCACTGGAAGTCCCAGCTGCAGCCTCCTCTCCTCACCCCGGGCGCTTGCATTCCCCCGGGTTTTGTTCCCCTGCAGGGATGGCAGCCCCAGGAAAAAGCCAGATGGATGGAGGCCCACGGGTGCTTCTCTCTGTGCAAAAATTGTAGTTGCCAGTTTTTGCCAGCACTGACTGCCCTCCAAACTCACCTCAGACACGTGGTGACATCTTCTGTCCAGATTTTAGAGTTGCTTTCACTGGGCGGGTGAGGCAGAGCTACAGAACCAGACAGCCTGTCACTTGTTTTGAAGAAAAACTCCAGAAAAAGAGAGGGTCCTAGAATGGTATAAAAATTCAGTGACGCCCATCAAAGCCTTGAGAGGTTCAGACTTTATCTCCAGCACTGAGGGCAGGTGTGTGAGGTCTCAGGCAGGGGACAGGTGTGTGCAGGTCTCAGGCAGGGTGCATGCAGGTCTCAGGCAAGGGGACAGGTGTGTGCAGGTCTCTGATAGCAGGGACAGGTTGTGGGTGCAGGTCTCAGGCATTTCGAGGGACAGTGTGTGCAGGTCTTTTATTTTTTTTTTTTTTTGAGACGGAGTCTGCTGTGTCGGCCTCAGGGTGGGAGTGCATGGCCCGGATCTCAGCCTCACTGCAAGCTCCGCTCCCCCGGTTTACGCATTCTCCTGCCTCAAGCCTCCGGTAGCCCGGGAACTACAGGCGCCCACCACCTCGCCCGCCTAGTTTTTTGTATTTTTTAGGTAGAGACGGGTTT